AAAGTTGAGGGACAAAAATTAAATTTCTCACCGTTCCAGATACTCTTCAGGGTGTAATAGGAGGTCCAGACATATAGAAATAACTCGGCGTCCCCAGGAGCCTTCTATTCTCGTTGGAGGGCTACTTCAAACACAGCTGGAAAGAGTTAAGAGTCTCTTCGCGCATTTGCGTGGGACATCAACCCAATCAGCCTGTAAGGGAAGGTAGAGAGAAGAGATCGAGGAGGCTTTCTTGCTTTTTGCTTTTATTCTAGGCTAGAGGTTTATTTATTTTTTCCTAAGGCATTCATCACAATCATAATCAAATCATTTGATCATTTCATCAATTCCTTCACGTATTCATCCAGTACTTAATGAGTACTTGCTGTGTGACAAGTGTTTCTCTATGTTCTGGGTATGTAGAGAGGCACAAATGTAGCCCCCACATATATATTATAAAGCCTAAGAGAAATAAGAAATAGGAGATGCTAATACACAATCTCAATCAGCTGTCAGTGCCATGAAGAAATGTAAGAGAGAGTGACAAAGAAGCCATTTCACGTGGGAAAACCAAAGGATTCCTTTGGGAGGTGGTATCTGAGCAGACACCTGAATGCAATGAGAGACGGTAATATGGAGACACCTGGGAAAAGAAAGATCCAGGTAGAAGGAACATCAGCTGCAAAAGGCCCGAGGAGGAACTCTGCTGGGTTATACGAGTGACCATATTAACATTTCATAGAACTCTCACCTTGAGTGGTGTCTATGAGCCAGACACTTTTCTAAGATGCTTTCATGTGTTAACTCGTTTAATAATCACAACCCAAATGGATACTTTTATTATTTTTCTCCTTTTACAGATGTTTAAACTGAGACAGAGAGAGTATTGACAATTTTTCTCAAGGTCAGACTGGTAGAAAATATTTGTTCAGTAAATGAAAGTATAGACAGATGAGGCAATATGAGAATTATACTTGGAAGTTTGTGTAAGTGAGGTTTGAGGTTTCTAGACTGCAGAAATGTGTAGACTACGGACTGGAAGAGGGTGAAAGTAGTGGCCGAGAATCAATTTAAGAAACCTTTGCAGTAATCCTGGCAGGAAATGACATGGGCTTGAACTAAGGAAGTAGCCACAGGGATTGAGGAGAGCTGATGGCTTTGAGCAGTGCATAGGGGGTAGGACTTGAAGAATCGGTGACCTGTTGAATATGGATGACAAGGATTATCATAAAGACTTTTAAAAAAGATTAGGCGGATAGAAATCATAATTTCCTTCCTGATGTTTCCTAAGTTATAGGAGCCCCGAATCTGAAATGCTAGACTTTTCAGTAAGCTTTGAAGTCATAGAATTTTAGTTTTAGAAGGGTTGATGCAGCTGTCAGCATTCTCTATCTTTATTTAAAGACGAGATAGAGGCAAAGTTACCGACTGAAGCCACTTAGCAGATGGGCGTGGAGCCAGTGATGGAAACTGGGTCTCCTCTTACAGTCCCTGTATTTTGAGGAAATGTGAAGTCATGCATTTGAGGACGCATTGGACACTTTCCCCTGATAAAATAATGCCGAGAAAAACATTTGCTCATTCTACAAATATTAATGGCTGTCAACAATATGACAGGCATTGTGTTAGGTCCTAGGACTGTCCTCTGTGGCCTTGATACTGTTGGCAAATTTTTCATTGAGTACCTACTGTATACCAAGCATTATTCAAAACACTGTCCTCACAGGGTGTAAGTTTTAAAACCTGGACTCAAGTTCAAGTCCATTTTCTGCCAAAGTCCATGTTCTTTGTACCAGGCAGAGATTAGTCTGAGAACTGTCTTCAGTTTCTTTTTTCAGTAATTACTTGCTCCCCTGTTTCTTCTGCTTCTTCCATATCTTATGAATTATAGCTGGCATTAGGCTATTCTCTACCACCCTTCCTTCTCTTTTTCTTCTAGAAAAGAGGTGGTTTTTTTTTTTTTAATCCATAGATCA